ATCTTCCGGGGATTTATGCTTTTTTAAAAACAGGACGACCTGTCCTTGTTTGAATGCAGTAGGGAAGATTTGACAATGTAGAAGCTTGTTAAACAGAACTTTAAAGTAAGTGGGTCGAGCGTTGAAGGCGACCTTGATTATTGCATAATCCAGGCCGTCAGGACCTGGTGCCTTTTTGACTGGAAGCTGTCGAAAGATTTGCTTGATCTCTTCCATTTCAAATGGTTCGTCGTCTGAAGTCTCTGGGATAGTGGTGTTTCCCCTTGTGTGCCTTTGCTCTGGCGTGTCATCGTCCGGATCGTCTGCTGGGAAGACTGTGTTTAAGGTTGTGGCTGCCGTGGATTCTGCTATGTTGGTGGTAATGGGTTGGTTGGCAATTTGGGCATAGAGTTGATCCGGCTTAAAGACCTTGTTGGTGGCAAGCTTGTGTAGAATTCCATATGGGTTGTTATTTTCTGTGCAGAACTTACGCCAGCTGGTTATTTTGGCTTTAAGGATATTATTTTTATAATGCGCTCTTTCCTCCCTAAAGGTTGCTAGTATTGCATTCTTGGTGGTTTCGTTAATGTTGGTGCGAAGGCGACGTCGTAAAGCCCTGCACTTTTGCCGTTGCTGTCGCAGTTCCTTTGTCCACCAGGAAATTCCTTGCAAACATTTTGCTGCTCTGGTGGGCAGGTGCTGATCGCAAATGCTCCGTAGAGTGTCAAGCAGCCGCTCGGTATAAGTGTTCAGATCATTGGGGCTCTTGTATTGACTTAGCTCCTGCTCTTCTTGCTGTAATGTTAGAGAGAAAGCTTTGTTAAGTATTCGCAATTTGTTACCCGGAAGTTTGTATCTTTTAAAGATGCTGATCCTTGTGTCGCTTGCAATATTGAAGTGTATGTAGCGATGGTCCGAGCAGCTCTCTTCATCTGCTACCATCCAGTCTTGTAGGTTATTGGCTATATCATTAGTAGTCACTGTAATATCTGGCCATCCGTGGTGGTACGTGTTGTCAAATGTGGGTGGCGCGTTGGGGGTGTTTATGATTTGCAGATTGCTGGCCAATATGTAGTCTTCCAAGACTTGCCCTTTTGGAGTGGTAGCTGGGTAACCCCATATGATGTTGTGGGCATTAAAATCACCGCCTATAACATGTGATGTTGTGGGGCACTTTGTCTTTACTTCTTCGATGCTCATGATGGTCTGGTGGATATCATCCGGTGGGGGACTGTAGATGGAGGAAATGATGATCTGTGAATTTGAGAAGCTGAGGAGGATTGCTACATGGTCTCGCTTCTGTGTAATTATCAGCGGGGACCAGAGCGGGTTGCAGCAGGCGATTGCTGCTCTTGGTGGTGGCTCATTCTGTTGTGCTTTGCGCTGAAATATTTTCCAACAGAGTGGCAAACAGGCGACTTCCCCTGCTCTGCAGTAAGGTTCTTGAATCAATAGTATATCTGGTTGATGGTTGATTGTATGTTGGATCAATTGTGACGCGGCGGCTTTTGCTCTTTGTAAATTAATCTGGATGCATTTGATAACTTCTCGTTGGATGTCTGGTGTTTGCATTATTTGAGTGGGCGGCTGTGGCAAATCACTCGTATCTGGTACTGCGTCTGATATTAGCGATGTATCTTCCGTACGAGGGGCAGTTGACATCATAGGCTGGATGATCGCAGGGGATGCTCCTGTTTGTCCTATAGTTATAGTCTGCGCAGTTGATACACGCGGGCTGCTGCGCTCGGCATTCACGGATGTCGTGTTCTTCTGTGCAGTATGCACAATAATGTTTGTTGGAGCACTCCTTTTGAGTGTGGCCGAGTTCCTGGCATCTGTAGCATCGCTTGGTGTTATAGAAGTCTGCAATTCGGTATGCCCGCCAGCCGAGGTAGAGTCTGGGAGCCTGCATGATTCGCTGGTAGACTGTAGGTTGGCAGTCAAGAACCCATTTAACTGTGTTTCTTCTATCTCGGAGGCGGTAGAGGATCTTGACTGTTGATTTGGTAGCATTGTGCTCCGATGCCAAAGCTCGTTCTATTTCGTGTTCCTGGACTTCATGTGGGACGCTGTGGATAGCAACTCTTGGAAGTCTTGTGGCGGGAAGCTTGGTCTCTACCAGTTCTTGTCCCTTTGCACTGTTTAGCGTATTTTTTAGCTTGTCAAGGTCCTCCTTCGTGTGACAGTCAACGGCTAGCCCTCCTTTTTGTATGTTTCTGACTGTGGATACCTTTACTCCTATCTTGGGGAGTGGGAATTCCTGGCTGAGTTTAGCCTTAAGGTCTTGACTGGTGGAGCAGGTGGCTTCCTTAGGATATAGTAATAGTGTGTGCCGGGGCGTAGTTATGTGACTAGTATCTTTAGCCTTAGCTGCGGCAGCCGCGTAGGATGGACCTCTGATCGGATTAGGCAGTGGTGCTACAGCGAACACGTTATGCCTCTGCTGGTCTGTTTGATACTGGTTATTTGCATGTGCTAATTCGCAGCAGAAGAGAGTGGAGGTATTGGTACTTGTGTCGGCTTTTGTTGGTTTTGCTGTGTGTATTCGGGGCCTTCTAGGGCTAACTTCTGTAGAGCCTCTAGTGAGGTAAGAATACGTTCTCTGAGTTCTGTTCGGAGCAGAAATTTACCACCTCGGTAGGTAGTTGTTACTCTCTTGATTTCCTGGTAGAAGAGGTCCTACCTTTTCAGCATGAGCTATGTCTGAGTTTAAGATAGAGGTCGGGTCTAAGGCGCTAGACGACGTTGTTATATCTTCGTCAGTAGATAGAGTAGATTTTAGTACCATGATATAATGCAGACAATGACAGTTAATATGCAGAATTACAATAAAAAGCGTACAGTTACATAATCTAAGGCAATACAGTTAAATATAAGTGCGTGCAATGAAAGCGCTGCCAACAGTTAGCGTGCACGGGTACAAGGTGACAAGTAAATGAGAAGTGAATGGAATTTACAGAAAACTCATTAATTTCCGTCACAAATGCTAAATGTACGGAACTGAATGCTGTGAAGAAACCAGCCACAGAGCCTATTTCTCATACAATGCATACAATACACAGAATAATGCATACAATACACAGAATAATTGCATATACAGAAATAAAATCTAAACGAACTTAACAAGGTATGGAAACAGAGTACAATAGATGGCTATCAGTAAATAAGCACAAACAAAAATTTACAGGAAGATGAAATTAAATAAGTATAAAAATTATAATAATGATGATAAAGTAATAAAAAGAAGTAAATATAATAGAATAAAAGTTAAATGCACAGTGAAAAACTAGAACAGGGTTAAAAATTTGGGTGTACTAGAGGCTGGCTAAGTACCGTGCAGCTAAGTTCAAATTGTAAACAAAAGCACGTGCAAGACTTATAGCAACTGCACTCTACTATGCGCGCATGCGCTAGAAAAGCTTGACAAGGAGTTGTCCGACAAGTTCAAAAGGCGACCTGTCCTGCTGGACCGACCCTCCGCCGCTGTGTCGTAAAAATGAGCCGGGTGAGGATACCGGGGAAAGAACAAGGTCACACAGGAAAATTGCAATTAAATCTTACGGCACTCAGTCACTAATTAAGCTAGCAGGACGAATGATACACTAAAAGAAAGGTAATCTAAAAGCCTACCTTATCGTCTAGGAATGGTGTCGATATTCCCAATTAGACCGGAGATAAGGGCAGATTAATCCAGAAGTATGGCACTTTTATGTCGCACAATAAAAACACTGTAATAAATCGCACAAACACTTCACAATCACAGCACTGGTATCAATGAAGAGATCATATCTTCCACTTTCCAAAGGTACTAGGATTGAAATTGGATGCCTGTAGGTGCCAGAGAAATCTTAATAGATGTAAACACCACAAAACGGCACTTCACGGGGTCACGGTAACCCTCAGCAGATATCACGAGGTCGCGATACGAACAATGACTTCTGCTTTAAAGACTTAATTAATCCACCACTAATAAACGGAATCGCTCCAGATGCATATCAAATTGCTCAGCTTTTGAAGAACTTTAAATTGATATAACTCTTGTGTAAACTATATCAAAACTAACTTAAAATAATAAGGCGAAAAGCGAGCTCGCGAAAACACGTCGTACAGTTGATGCCGCGTAAAAACCAAACAACTTTTTTACTATTCGCTCACCATATTTTGTTAAATCATAAAAAAAAAAAAAACGAGGGACCAGGCTGTCCAAGTATGTCGTCTTTCTCTACTAAGTGCTGTTATCGCAAGCATTTTCTTCTCGTTTTTGTATTCCCCGTAGAAATTTGATTTATTCTGATGGTTTGTGATAATGATTTTTCCAGCGGTTTGCAATAAATAAACTTAATCTTTTTCTAATCCAAACAATCCTAAGTTTTTTTTTTTTCTTTTTCTATTGGGCTTTTGCATTTAAAAAATAACACAAATGTTTTTCATTTTGCGATACAACAATTCCCTGCCAGCAAAGAACTGCATTTTCTGCTAATTTTAAAATAAAAATTATCAGTTTTGCCGAGCAATGCTATGAATGGAATTGAAGGCGTTGTATTATAAGCAACAGATAGCAACAATGTTAACGGTAAAATGGAGGACAAGGCCATTCTTCCGGATTTACCTCAAGCAGAGAGGAACTTCCGAGGACTGCTAGAAAATTCTGAATCTGACGCTAATATTAACCCATTTGATTAATGTATCAAATGAAAAACAAGAAATATTTTTTTATATTTTTAGAAATATTATTTTAAAATATTTTTTCTCCAATATAGTTTTCGCATTTGGAATACTTATAAATCATATCGAATCTTATGTAAGCCGACCCCGTTTCACCCTCCAAATTTCATCGATAAAACATTTGCTGAAAATTCTCAGATTATACGACGAATTTTGCAGTATTTAAATAATTTTTTTAAATATTTTTTTTCAAATAAGATAAACAGTTCCTCTTTTTTCATTGTGTTTGTAATATTTTACTCCCATTATTCATATCTTAAATTGAGATATCTCACTCATTTATCGTCTTTTTACAGCTGATACCTGTCCAGCAGTAATGAATAAATATAGTCAACTACAAGTGAAAAAAGTTGAAATTAGTTTTTGCAAAGGTTTCTGCTGGGAAGAATTCAAGAAGGACTTCATAAAGAAATTCGGCATATGGACAAGAAGGTAAAACATATAATATATTTTGTTAAATATACGGCGCTTCTGCAAAGTTTCCGAACGAATGGTTTAATAACTTTCAGTGAGCCTACTAAACAATAATTGATACCATTTATTCTTATTATAGCTCAGTTGTTTCTCTTAAAATGCCATTTGTTTAGGGACAGAATTTTCTATGCAGTTAATCGTTCGATCTAGTACATCGATCTAATTCGAACATCTGCTGTAGTTAAGTTCAAAAGCTAAGTAAAGAATAATAATAAAATTTTGTTGTTGCAAAGGGGGAATTAATTCGGATTTTTGAACTAGATTATGACTGAAGACGAGACTCCGCTATTTGCTTATGATCTTGAAACTAAACGACAAACATCTGCATGGGCTGGAAAAGATTAACCATGTCAACAAGAAAGTTTGGATTCAAAAATCTCGAGCAAAGACTAAATTGGTGTCTTTTTTATTCGAAAAGTATAATTCACAAGCAATTTTCTCCTGAGGATAAAAGGTGAGCCTCGTATTTTATAACAGACAGCTTTCTGAAGAGAGTGCAGCCTTTTCGGCTAGAAAAATGGAACTAAATAATTGGCTTCTTTTATTCAGGAATATATCGTCACGCAGTTCTATTTACGTCAAGACGATTCTAACAATGAAACGTTTCACAGTTCTCGGCCACCCCGTTATTCACTAGTTTTGCTACATGCAAATACTCTCTGTTGCATAAAAGGAAGTTTTACCCCAAAATGCACAATTTATCAAGCCAAAACAGGTTTTCTGCCTAACGGGAGGGGTGTTTTCATGGATTGTTCCATGTGTAATGAGCCAGATTCCCTTAAAATGTATTTCAGAAAGGCATACATCCCTTTGGCGGATACCCTTGTGTGAGTCTTAATAATGCCTCCTTTTTCCTAAAAAGAGAACGCCGCAAGTTTAAAATACAAAGTTTATACAAAGGCTTCGTTCAGACGAAGATTTTAATTTATTTGTAATTCTGTGTGGTTTAAGGCATAAAAGTCATTTACAGCTGTTTAACAGGATTTAAGTTGCAGCTGCTCAGGGAAGGGAAAGTTCCACATGCATAAATGTTAAGCTGACTCAACAAAACCGTTGGCCAAATTTCACTTTGTGTCTTAGCTATGATTTGTCGATTCTTATATTAAATTGATATAAAGTTGAAAAGTTAGAACTTTTAGGCATGTTCCTCAAACCAGTTTTTGCGAAGTAACTTGGCAACGAAGTTCGACTAAAGGTCGTATCATATATTTAAAATATTTAGAAAGAACAATCGTGTTTAGTACAATTTTTCTGCTTTACAAATGATATAAATCAACAATTCACCTCGGATCGTTTTAGGGTTACCAAGCAAAGGGGAAACTAGTTCTCCTTCCTATGAATGATGGTTGATGATGGGGAATTCGATGCTAATAGCTGACTGGTTGTTGAAAACGAACAACTTACAAATTTTTCAGAGAGCAAACGTGCCTTTTTCTTTCACTGATAAAGCAGGTATAACGGCTAAAACAGTTTTTCGTCCGGCACAAATTGGATGTGTCATATCAGCCTTAGACTCATTATGATCGATAAACCATTGTGTGACTAAATTTAACGGTCCTCTTAATGCATATTTTGAAGCAACACTCGCATCTGTGATTAAGCTCTTTCATGACTGTAATATAAGCTACAAGAATTGACGAAAATTCAGTCTCCTTAAAATTGAACTCTTTGGAGATTTATGTTTTGATAAGACGATGAAAAATCTACAGTTTTCTGATATTTTAGGCATATTGATGATATCTTTGCTCAACGTTCTTAAAACACTGTATTTTGATTTCTACTGGGTGTATTTCTGATGCTTATTTCAGTAATTATAATACTAGATTCGTGAATGGCCTATAAAATAAAAGTTTTGTTTTATTACCAATACCTCTTTCTCTTAAAAAATAGCATTTTACCACAAAAGTAGTTTATTTCTTTAAAACCGGTGGTTGATACAGTAGTTTAATTATGGTTTCATAGCAGACCGGTTTTATTGCATATAGTACCTATTCAGTTTGATAGTATTTGTAGCAAGTCGAATGGTACCACTGTTGTATTTGAACAACGTAAACAATATTTAAATGTACATTTATTTGTACCACAGTCTTTCTAACTCAAGGCAATTAACTTTAAAAAATACGAAAATCTCAAAAGTTCTGAAATTAACGTACTATGTCAAAGAAACATTTGATTTTACTCGAATTTGTCACTGAAATAGTGAATTTCAAGCAGGTAAAAAATTATTCAATATGATATTGCTCCGTTAGATTATATCGAATTCTTTGAAAGTGCTAGCTGGAACTTCCACTTTTCCGTTTCATTCGATAAATTTTTGTTAATTCTGAACTACGCAGCTATACTATAATTCTTAAATAAGAGATGTGACATCAGATTATTGAACATTTCGGATCTTCACACAAAACTGCTGACAATGAGTTGAGAAATCTTTCTACGCTCTCTATATTATAGCAACTGGGGCAATAAAGTAAACCTAACTCTAACGTTGTTATCATCGAGGGCTTTGGGAACAAAAAAAAGGAATAAAATAATACTATAATTTTTTAAATGTCGGAATTCAAATTTTTCATCAAAAATAAACGTGGAATTTAAATTTTTTCTCCTGTATATCATTTTGATATTGTTTTTTAGTTACTTGTTTGCATATCAAGTCAGTTGGCGAATTCAGGAGCGCTCCCGTACAGCAAAAGAGCTCTAGCTAAGACACTGGCCGCCCCTGCATTTCTTTGCCCTGTGCAGCTGAGTTGTACCACCTTTGGCATCAGCCTTGATATGAAATACAAACTGTTATGTCATTCGTAGGATGATACTAAAGATTTTCTCCCTCCCCCACGAAGAAAATAAATTCTTTGCCTTTTGTCCTAAATCATATAACCCAAATCAATTATGTCCAGCTTTGTGAAAGTTGTAACATTTCGTCTCATTATCTAAAGCTGTTTCCTGCACTTTGCTTTTATGAAAGATCTATTTTCGGTGAATAAAAGAAATCTGATGAAGAGGGATTTTACAGTTAACAAGAGAATAAAAAGTGGAAATTTTAACGTTTTCTTAGCCATAGTTTAATAGCTTTTGTTCTTTCTTAGTGGAAATACCTATTATTTACTTTTATTGATTTTACATTGGTGTCACAGAAGTTGATATCTATACACACAGGTCTGGTTTGTAGGAGATGTATGTTGTGCCTTCATTCTTCTTCTTCTTCTTTTTTTAAAGAGATATTTAGTCTAAAGATATATTATGAGAGTTGATAATTCTGTATATTGACCAAAATCGCTGGCAATGGTGTATTAAATTGTTTTAGCAAAAATCTTTTTGCGTAGGCATCTTATCAGCACATATTACATATTTAGATGCTTTTATCCCTTCCACCTAGAATCATCAACAAATTGTTGAAGTGCGGCTAAGCCTAATTTTTTACGCTTTATAGTCCAGAGTTGACTTCGGAGCATTGAGATATTTCTCTGCAAGGTTCGCTGTTTAGATACGCTGCGCACTGCGTTGTGTTTAACATTCTAATTGGTTTGAAGTAATAACTATGGACTGTGGTCTGTCATACTGAGAAAAGCTGCATGAGCCATTTTTGGAAAAGTTCCAGATCTGTAAGTTGTTTCTTTTGGGAAAATAAATTTCAGCAAGCTGTGATCGGTTCTGCGTGCATTCAGTCCATTACGAACCAGTGCACACGTAACTATATGTTTCTGTTTTTGGTTTTTTTATTTTAATGAATATACTTGAAACATGAACATACTTAATATGAACACGCTTTAAAATGAACATACTTAAAATCACAGAGTAATAGGAAGTTCCTTACGAACGGCATCTAAATTATGTTTTTATTGTTCCTAAATCGAATTATATCTCATCTGAAGATTTTCCACTTTTGTTGTAAGTATACAATACAATAGTCAGATTCCTTTCGAATTAGTATGCATTGGAAAATTCCTCTATTTGGAGATTTTTTTTAGAGCTATTACAGTGAACTTAATGTGAATTTCTGATGGAAATATTCTCAAAACTGGGAATTTTACTTTAAAAGAAAATCTGATGTTAGCACAGCATGATTTGTACGGAATATTAAATTATACGCAATTTTCCTGCATTTCATTTAAACATATTGAATTAAAAGTTAACGAATTTTGAATTAAATATACTTCATCGGTAGCGCATAAACCCCAATAGAATAAATGCACTCTTTAAAGTTCACTATATTTATTCACCACAGGGACACTTCGGCGCTAGGTTCACTTAATAACTTACGTCTTATTTATTTTATAACTCAGAGTGCACAAAAATTATATCATGTGAAGAAATTCTAATACTATGATAAATCTAAAACGATGTATAAAAGAAATTAAACAAATAACACAGAAACAGTTTTCCGCAGACGATTTAGCGCCGCTTACCTAATATGCAAGGGCTACTAATTAATTCAGTTCTCACTTCGCGGCAAGGTAAAAATACATAAAATTTCAAAATATTTTCATTAAATATTGAAAGATAGAAAAACATAAAACACCAAGTACAGTTATAGAGACATAAGTACTTTTCTGGAAGCAGAAAAGTTGAAAAATAGCAACGCCTTTGCCGAGAATCGAACTACGGACTTCTGGAATACGCGCCCAGCGGGCAGACCACCCTATCACGAAGGCATGCCAAGAAGGCGGGAGAAATACCTTACACAGTTAAAACAATTACAAAAACAATTTTTACAATTATAATTACAGTTTCTACTCAAAAGCAAGCTAATAACTTAAATAATAATTCCAGACTGAATTAAGCATAATTTAATTCGCGATAATAAAGAATGCATTTGTTGTTGCGAAGCTTAATTTCTCGAGATTGGCAACAAATCCACTATTCTGATAAGTTTCAAATGTAAACAAATATGGTGCCCAACTACATGTTATATAGCAGTCCTATATAAAACATTTTAACGTTCTGAGGCTAATTGTGCTTTGAGATATGGGAGATGCATACATATATACGTACGCACGTACATACGTGCAGATGCCAGGAAATAAATCTCTTTTGAATCCATTTTAAATCAGTTTTATCAATTCGCTTGGGGAAAAGAGTCCTTTCATTCTCTCCTTATGAACAGATGTTAAGCAAAAACATAGTTAAATTGCATTCGATAGCGGTGAAAATGGATATTTTCATTGAAATATGATATCCAAAATTTTTCGCGATTACAATACTTTCTTTTTACTTCGTACAAGGAAGTAAAAAGCTGAAATAGACGAGCTATTTTAAAGCTTCAAAATTGTGGCAAAATATTAGTAATGATTAATAAGGAGATTATAACAATCTGCCTTTTAGCATCTTGGAAACATTTAAAATAAAGTTAAAAACTTCAATAAAAATTATGCAAAGTAAAATTAAACCAAAATATTTATGCAATATTGTTTTCGTATACAAAAACAAAACCCAACAAAGTAAACTGTGAATTATTATGTCTTTGGACTTTACGTTCTCTTATTTAAAGAAGGGAGCTGTAAATAGGCGGTGTCATAAATGGAATGAGGGAATACATCAGCCTAGATTGGGCATAAAATTACTGAATCTTCCCCTCTAACACTGAAATGAAAGCAAAACTGTAGTTTTGGGAACAAGCCATTCGATTATTGATGAACTAAAAATCTGCACTGCCCATACCGTCGTGGCTATCACAACAGATACCTTTCAGCGTGTACGGACTGAAACTGAATAAATTGAATGTATGAGGCATGAAAAAAGGATTTCGCATAGAGTTGCTTTAATGTATGGCAATAAACATAGTTTAATTTGTTTTTCGCAGGTAAAGATGGGCAAATTAAATTGTTGTTATTACTATTTGTAACAAATTTATTGGAGTTATCTTGTGTAGTGCTTAATCAGTGTATTGTTAACAAATTATTATCATTAGGCAAAGAAATAAATTCATAAGCTGTGTTACGTTTCAAACTCACTTTGAGTAACGGATCTTTGTTTTCTTTTGTAGCATGAGTCTCTTCGGAAAAGCCTTTTACAGCATTCTGACCCAGAATCCAATGATCGTGGAGAAAAGCGAGTTGCAAACTGAAGACAGCTAAAGGATTTTAATTATAATCAAGAAATACAGTTTTGTATGTTGTCAAAATGCTTGAAATTGCGAAAACAATTGAGAAATAAAGGTGGAAATTGCAAATTTATTTCATTCTACAGAGAAATTAATTTACTAAAATTTCAAAGTGCAACGATTTTTAACAATTTACCTTTATGCTGTGATGTAATACATGAAACACGCAAATATGGAGCAGAATATCATACGCAAACGGACCTTCCGTAGATAAGAATACGCTAGAAAAGCAAACATTTGAGCAAAACGCTTATGAAATGAGTAGTTTTAACTGTATCCTAATCAACATACCTGAGATATCTTAACGTACTACTAAATATCACGTAGTTTCTTTTATAGATGTCATGCGACTACCAAATAATTTATTTCACTGTTTGTTATTCTGTAAACCCGTAACCATAATCAGAAGTATTTTCTTGATAACGATCTATTTTCATTTGTAAGTATAAGCTATCAGAAATTAAAGATAGCCCTCTTATTCGTTGTTCTGTCTGCACATTAAGCAGGTTTTGAGTCATCTTTGCTTGGACTCCGGGTCAAAATCAACGTTTTAACATCCCTCATTGCCAAACCCTGGTGGACAACATGTCATTACCAAATTTGGACTGGTCAGAGGTCTTCTGATCTTCTGCCACTTCTATTTAGAATGAGGGAACGTAAGGAGCTCAATCAGGAATTCCCAGCCTTTTTCTCGCACCAATGCCTTTGAAGGAATAGATTTCGCCATATAACCCCGAACAGATTTCTCTATAATATATAAAGTACAGCAAAATCATAATACAAATAGTTGCATATAAATAACTTTAAAATAAAAATTTAAAAAAACATCTGAAAGGTTTCAGATTTTTAATTACGTCCAAAGGGGCGTTTTTATTTTGTGTATTACCTTTATTTATTAAATATCATGTTCTTTGCGCATAAACCATAAAATTCAGTTCAATAGCAATGTCGCAAAATAATTTTAAAACGAGCATATCTTTAGAATTTCCGATACACAGTTCCGCGCGCTGGAGATAAAAGGTTCCCCCCCCCAATAGAGTGTTGCCATGGATCGCTTTGAAATCCTTGAGTTTGTTAATTACAAATTCGTTAAAGTTTTACAAAATATGAAATCGATCATAAAACAAATTCCAAATTTCAAATTTGGATTTCAACATGCCCCTATTCGCAGTAGGATTACGTCATCAAAATCGGATGGCTCTATGTACCGTTGTTTTATCACAATGCGAGAAATAGAAATACATTTATGCATATTTTTCATTATTTAATTTCTTCAAATATAATGCAGGACTCTAACATTTGATGGCAACAGTTTGAAAAGTGAAACGGGCATTTATAGTGATTCAACGCAAAATCGCAAATCGAAAACAATAGTCCTTCAGGGACAAAGCCCCTTTGGACTAACAATTAAATTAACAGGAACAAAAGTTTTGAAAAAAAAAATGGTTGGTTAAATTCCGTTTTATTACTATCGGTATTATTATTATTATTTTAATTTTATATATATAAAGAAGTTTTCAGAAATAAAATCACAGATTCTATTTTGCAAAAAGGTTCCATTTCAATGAATCTGATGGCTGCGCTTTATGTATTCATACCGTCTTTTCTTCCTTGTACGAGTTAAAGGAGGTACTGTAATAGCGAAAAATTTCGGGTATTATATCTCAATGGAAATATCCTTTCTTAACGTTCCTGAATCCATTTTGGCAACTTTTTGCGTGACATCTGTACATATGACAGAACAAAGGACTATGTTTTTCCAAAATGAATGTGAAATGGATTCAAAAGGAATTTTTTTCGTGATGTCTGTGCGTACGTATATTCCTCTGTATCTCGCATAACTCCCATCAAAATGATTAGCCGTAAAATTGAAATTTTGTATATGGGTCTCCTATATTATTTAGTTGTGCATCTCCCAATTTTATTGCAATTAACGGTACAGAAGTGTGTATATATATATATATACTGTCACACCTATTTTGGAGTATTTAACTAAATAACAGATGAGCTTCTTAGTAAAACATAAATTTAATTGTCAGTTCACGGAGATAGATAATTTAAAATACAATTTTATCCGTTACAGCGTTTCATTCTAGTTTACGGTTATTATTTCTTTCTTGATAAATTTTCAATCATCTACTAACTGGTAAAACCTTCAGCATAATAATTTTAAACATTTCTGACGTTGCTCAGCAACGGTTACACGATACAAATATAAATGTCCGTTTCACTTTTCAAACTGTTGCCACCGAATATTAGAGTCCTGGATTATATTTGAAGAAATTTAATTATGAAAAATCTGCATAAATTTATGTATATTTCTCGCATTGTTATAAAACAGCGGTACATAGAGCCATCGAATTTTGAATGACGTAATCCTACTGCGAATATGGGCATGTGGAAGCCCAAATTTGACATTTGGAATTTGTTTTATTATCGATTTCATATTTTGTAAAACTTTAATGAATTTTCGGTTAACAAACTCAAGGATTTCAAAGCGAGCCATGGCAACGTTGTACAGAAAAACATTTTTATCTCCAGCGCGTGAGACTGCGTATCGGAGATTCTAAAGATATGCTCAGTTTAAAACTATTTTGTGATATTGCGTTTGAACATAATTTTATGGTTTAAGAACGCGATATTTAATAAATAAAGGAGTAACAGAAAAAATGTTTAAAAAAACGCCTCTTTGGACGTAATTTAAAATCTGAAACCTTTCAGATTTTCTTTTCTTTTTTTTTAAATATTTTTTGTTAATATTCTTTTTATGAACGGGATCTTGATTATGATTCCGGTGCATATCGGGCTATCGACAAACAACCGACCCCTTGATCATCACTTAGTCCTTTTAAAATTTCAGCAACCCACAAGTGGTCAATAGTGACCCTGCTGGGAACTCCAGAATTAAATTATCTTTAATACATCATCTCATTTTTGAATTGCCAACAATCCAGCCGAGCCTCTTTTTAAAGGTCAAGTGTTCGACTCTAGGCAAAGGTACAGGAACTTAACAAAACAGAGCTAGTAAAGAGTTTACAAATTTAAAGGGTTAACAAAATTAATTTCCATTTCTTGCTGGTTCGACAGACAAAATGGATTAAAATTATTCACTAATCAAATTTTGAATTCAAATCCTAACAAGCTGGCTTCATTACACCACGACTATAAACGTAATTTCAGTCAAAGGAAAACTCTCCTGCCCGTATCATATAACGCTAGAAGATAGGTACCAGGCGAGTTTCGTCACGTTACGGTGAGGTTGCCAACTGTTCTTTCTTTTAAACTTAGAGGACCACCAGCGGTCGGGTGTTAACGTCACTGAACACTGGTAGTTCGACCTGGAATGGAATCCTAACGAAAGGGCTTGGATGCACGATTAGTTTTTGTTGCATTCCCATATGTAACATGGATACGAACCCTTTTTCCCTTAAAACGTCCTCCACGAAGGCATCTCTTCCCATAGACAAATACCACTCGAGTTGCTTTGCCTCGTTAACCTAACATAACATCTTCAACTTAGATTCTCGCTCGTTGTTTAAACTCACTTTATTTAAATTTTGTGGTTGAATTGAGGAAACAGTAGAAGTGGAGGAACATTCAACTTAAAAAAAAAAATGTGTTGATTAAAATAAACTTTACAGGCATTACGAGAAGATACATGGCACCAGTTTTGATGAACAATGAGCTTGAAAATCATCTTCTGAGCTGGAATTTCATTGTTAATTATTTTTGCATACATTTTGCTTACTTCACTAGCTTTCATTGAAAAATATATGTTTACTTTTAAAAGTGAGCAACTGGAAAGAGGTGTGTGTAGCGCGAGAGAATAATTCAATATTACGAGTATTTTCTTCCCTCTGTCGTTTCAGTTAATCGGAATTTTACTGTTTCTTTTATGATTAAAATCATTAAAATTTATTATATACAGACTGTCCGCTTCCCCCCCTACCTGATGTATGAAATAAACTGTGAATTCTTCTTTATTTACTTTGCATTCTGTGAATAAATCCAACTTCCAAAACTATAATCCCTGACACGTTTTCACCCACATCAGATAAATCCCGCATGAGTAACAAATAATTAATTTTAATTTCCATCATGGAATTCCAAGCTCATCTTTCACTTACCCATATCCTGAACAAGAGGCCATATGATATAAAACCGGTTCGCAAGGAAAATAAATAAATAAATAAAATAATTCCGGAACACTGAAGCGGAGAAGTAGGTGATAGAAAGAGCGAAGGGCCTCAACTACCAAAACACCGAAACGCGTTCTTTCTTCCGTCACAATAAAGAGGTGCACGTGCTGCGAGAGGACGACCTGATCTAGCGTCTCTTGTAGCAGTGGTTGTTAAGACACATTGGCTTAACGCATTGTTTATTTTGATCATGGCCATGAGGATTCTTTATTTAGCGGTATTTTTAAACTTCGTAACTGGTTCGCTGGCTGACAGGCAACCTGATCTCTACAATATTGGTGTTGGAATAGCGGATGTCACTGGACCAGCAGCTGAAATTAACATGGTAAGTTTGCTTTCGGACCATTCTAACTATAATTGCAGCCATTTAACTGCTTTTATGTTTCATAATTTGTAGTCTTTACGATAATTTCCTTATCCGTTGCAGTAACATAGGCTATTGAAAACTGCTGAAAAAATTTGGGAGTCGCAACTAAAAGAGTTTGAATCCGACTTTTATCCGACACGACAAAGACCAAAATAGTCGCATTTGACTTAACCTTAAACCTTACTTAAACAAAACAGACGTAAGACATTTAATCTAGACACCACATGGCTTTGTCGAACGGCTCATTAAATTATACACACTTTTCGGTGCACTTCATTTAAATTTATTTCCTCGAATTTTTCCAATTTAATTAACCGATCTCCTTAAGGCAAGTTGAAAATGACATCAAAAACTGCAGATTTTGAAATTAAATACTCATGTTAATTTTTGTCGTGCGGGAGTCAAAATTCTTATAATTTTATTTTTTCATACAGTGGATAAATATTTCCCAAACATAAATACAAGAACCCAGAGATCGCATTAAAAGATATATTTCATTATTTGTCGTATTCGTCATTTAAAACATTTCTGTAGTTGGAATAACAACAATTGCGAATACAGCCAACGATTGCAAAAATAAAGGCCGGTTAAGGACTTTTAAGCCGGGTAAGGGAGTGGGTATGTAATATATATATTACGATTGCCTTAACGAAAGGAGGTATACAACTAGTAATATAGAGTCGTATACAAAATTTCAACAGGGCTAATCATTTTTGAATTATGCGAGGTATATACATACATACATGAAAACGCAGTTTGAATTCCGTCAATCGGCCCAGTAGAACGTAAGAATCGGCCAGTATCACAAAAATACTTTATTTAATTTTACCGTTATTCATACTGGAGATATAGAACTGCCCCATACGTCACAAAAATTCCCTTTCAAAGTCTAAATCATTATAATTGTTTAATTAAAGTAACAAAAACTCTACAAAGTCCTCAAAGGAGGCATCCTTTTCCATGGGCAGATATCTGTAAAGTGCTTTGTCATAATCAAATAAAACAATATTGCACAAACAAACGGAGGTATGCTCACTGAACATATAGCGGATCTCTGACAAGAGTGAGGTAGCTGATGAATATTGTCAAGTAAAATACGCACTGTATCAAAGAATTGTATAAAAAGTGAATTATCTTCAAAAATGTGAAAACCTTTCCTAAATTATAAACAAAACTTTCACTGCATACCAAGTGAATATGAATTATTCTGTGTAAACTTGTCAAAGGCCTACTTCTGGAATCTAGGTTGAAATGTATAAAAGGAGATTTTTAAGATATTTTGCACCCCGTGGCCTCTCATGATTTTGGAATTTTCATTACTTATTTTTGGTGAAAATGAAATTCTTGAATTCTCCATGAAATTCTTGAAAACTTGTAAGGAATTACGTCATTCTGAGCGTACTGTCCAATTCCAAGGATTATTTCTAGTAGGCAACTGGAATATCCGTGTGCGAGGGAGGCCTCAGTTAATTTTTGCATTTCTGTGATCCTAATGGCGTTCAAAGTAAAAAACGTGGTGAAAGATAACTCGCTATCGTTCGGAATTAGTGAATTTTTAAGTTGGGAGGGGGTGTATAACGAATTGTCATAATTTCCTATGAACCTTTTCATAATTTGAGTGGCCAGTAAGCCCAACTAGTAAGTCAAAAGATTCGTGGATTGAATCCCGGCAAAGACAGTATTAATTCTTTCGTGTACCCTGTTCTGAAAAACTTAATGAATTGTACAAATATTTTTATATGATATTTAAGACTAACACGCATCCTTGTTCAGTTGGATTATTCAGCTGAATATCTGATACAGAAAAAGTTCCTAATTTGTAATGTCACAAAAATACTTTATTTAATTTTACCGTTATTCATACTGGAAATTTGTTTCTAGGTATATGAATACTAATTTGTTTGCCTTCATTATCTTAGTAGAGATTCTTATTTGCTATTAAGTTGATAAGCCCTCAGTGTTTGATTAGAGGGAGAAATAGTTTTCCAGGATCCGTAAGTGATAAATGACTAACTTCCCTAGGATTAGTGATGTTTGTTTTGGCAAGTTGTTTCTTGCGGAATGAATTTCCTTATATCCCGTGCTTAAAGGAAACAGCAGTAAACTCACATTCATCGAAAGTAAATATTATTTTAAAATTGTAACAAAAATTCCACGTACGCCTCTCATTTTGAATCAGTTTTGAAGGATTTTTAAAATTTTAATAGATTTCATTCATATTTATTGGATGTCGCTAGAGTTATCCTCCGTCCAGTGTGTTATCTGTCCAGAGTTTACGTGCCGACTCATCGGAGGAAATAAGGATTATAATGTGCCAGGACAGTTATGTGAGTTATCGGCATGTACAGTTATCGGCATGTAGCATGGAAACAAGTTATGATGACTGCACGCAAAGATCTGTAGAAGACTTAAGCACACGCACCACCGTGAGCTATCCGGGAGAGACAAAATTATAACAACCTAAACATAAACATGGAAAAATTGCAGCTTCCAAGTTAGTTCCTATGGCTTATGTACGAGAACTTCTGATTTAACTATGTAAGGAAATTGACAAGCAAGTCACAAACAAAATGAATATATAAATAGTAATACACTGTATATTCAGTTATGAGTAAAAGCATTGAACAAAGTGGAACAGCTTGCCACTGTATTGTTATAACTGTGGAACAGTTATACCGTGGACGTGTCTGAAGCAGATTGCGCACGGTTTGACTTGGCTGAATAGGCAGTAGCACAGTATGATGTGACTGAGCCAATTTTATTTGGCGGCTTTCTCTTAATATTAGTATTGGTAACCACGTTGAACGAGGTGATGATATTGGTAAGAATTTGTCTCCATTACTAAGAATTACAGCTTAATTTGTATTTTTGGTTAACTTCAAACAGGAAGTAAGTATAAAAATAAACAAAATGCTTATATAAAGAAACAGAAATATAGAAATATTTCTTGTAGTTTAAATATCAATATACCTTAACCCATAATTTAAGTTTCAAATGTAACCGTGAGATTATAAGGACAACTTAAATATTAACAAATGACGTTACTCAAAATCTGTATGCTACGGTAACGATCTGAGGACATAATTTAAATCAGCATGCTCGAATAAGTAGGAAAATAACTTTTACTTATTCTATGACAAAACGTTTGTTGATCACTGTTATTTTCTGCTCGAGTACTTGCACAAATTATGCTAATCCATCAAGTTTGAAAGTCTCGATTTAATTGAAACGATGGTAATTATTTTTTAGCAAAATACAATAATTACCGCCAAATACAGTTAATTTATCTTTACCATTAAGTTAATACTCACATTTTAAATGTAACAAGCTCTGTGATGAAAACGGTTTTCAGCGAAGAGGCCGACAATCACTAAAAATTTGGTAACTTTTGATTTAAACGGTAGGATGAAATCAAGAAATAGTTATAAATTCCTAATTTCGCCTGTTCAAGATATCTCCAAAATACTGTTATTATTATCTTCATAATAACTGCCCTGCCGGTATAGTAGATCGTGACTCTGACTGCAAATAATGATCTTCATAAAAATATTTCTTCGAGATACGCATGTAATATTTTAACTTAGGTAAGAACAAACTGGACAATATCTATATTCCAGAGATCCGGTACCATTTCGATATTTGCTATATTTTAGAAGTTACTTTAAAATATTGCGGAATACATGTAATGACAAGTAATAAATCGAAGCCTGACCTGGATGCTGCACAATTTGAGTGATGATGGCAATAAAAGATACTTGAATTATTATTGTCTTTTCTGTAGGTCACTGTGCCAAGATGTTTTGAGGAACTGACATTTTTGATGATTATCCTGTGGCAATGTTTATGGTCGAATGACTTCTTCCGCTATCTTCTGTCATAATTACATACTAGATTACAGAAAACGCATAAAATCAAACAGCAGCGGAAGTAGCTAAAGACATTTTCCCAGCCTGATATGTGTTATTTATATATCGTTGAACTTTTTCTTCAAATTAAAAAAATACTTTAGGCGTGATTATTGACCATTACCAAAATACACATTTAAATTTAAGTATTCCAGCTTTATAATACTGTACTGTTATTTTTATCTTTCCTTAGGATTTAATCATTTTCGCTTTGTGTGTTATTATTTTTTTAAACAACATATCATTTCGTCACGTTATCAAATTAGCATTTCATCGTCTATTCTTTTCTGTTAAGGTATTCTTAATAACGTTACTGAACCTTGAGACCATTAAATAACTTGCAAACCTTTATATACTTTTTGGTATGGTTCAAACTAAAATCCTTACTTCATAAATGTGAGCTAAAGTACCTTACATTGTAAATAAGGGTTTCAAAACGTTCGCACACAAATACTATTTATTGACAGGTTATACAACTGTCTCTACCTATTGGGCAGGTTAGATACTGAAGCGATAGAAACCTTAACCAGAATATAAGAACAACATAATTGCATCACTTTTAAAGTAAAGCCCAACTCACCAACAACGTTCTACGGCTAATCTTTTTTTTTTTTTTTGAGATATGCGAGATACATACATATGTACGTACAGACGTCACAAAAAGACCCTTGTTGAATCCATTTTAAATCCATTTTACAATCTGTTTTGTAAAAAAAGAGCCTTTTTATTCTGTCCGTACGATGTCAAGCAAAAAAATCGTTCAAATGGATTCAAGAGCGGTCAAAATAAATATTTTCGTTGAAATATGATACCCGAATATTTTTGTGAATAAAATACTTCCTTTGCTTCGTGCAAGGAAGTAAAAAGTAACATAAAAGGAAAAACGAAACTTTCTTTAAATTTATAAAACACAATGAATGTATGGACTTTTACCGAATACTTTGATTCATGTTCTAAATGGCACAGTGGTAAAAAAAATAGAGTGTTGAAGGTGGACAATGAAAAAGTTCAGGACTGATGCATGTAAACTAAAGTGTGAAGTTTTCAAACAGA